TTTAGCTGGAAATATGTTCTTGGAATTTACCTAGAAAATCTATTAACTTGAAAATTTATCTGAAAATTTTATAGCCACATTTTTAACTTTGAAATTCTTTCAATACACTTTAAAAATATTAATACAAGAAAAAAATATTTTTAATTTAAAAGTTATATTTTTTTAAATGTGGCAAAAACATGATATATAAAATTCATCCTTCAGTATTGATTATATCCATTTTATATTTTATCAATTTATTTATAGGTAAATAGTTAAAATATTAATCCTATATAAAACTTAATTGTGGGAGATATACTGGATTGAATATTACACGTCATTGAGAATAATATAGTCGGTTATCATTTTGTTTGAACTAATTTAATATCAAAATTATCATAACTCTAGTTATTTTAAGAATTAAAAATTTGATATGGTTGATATAAAGGGATTTAATAAATCAAATATCTTCAGAAAATATACTAAATTTTGAATAAGTGAATAATTTAAGTTCATTCCGAAATAGAGAAATATTAATTTACATTTATAATAGATAACTAATTTTAATTAACTTTCTAACTAATTATATCATATATGTTGGATTGAATATTACAAGTTATTGAGCATAATATAATTAGTTATTAAGTTTTGAACAAATTCATAAAAAATAATTATCATAACTCTAGTTATTTTAAGAATTACGATGATATGATTGATATAAAGGATGTAATAAAGCTAATATCATTAAAAAAAATATACTAAATTGCGTATGAATGAGCAATTTAAGTTTAGTTTCTAAGCAGAAAAAATTAATATATATATAAAACTAATTTTATTAACTTTCTATCTTACATATCTTATTTTTTCCGATGTATAGTTAGAATGATGAAACTAATATTGTATATATGTTCGGATTGAACATTACAAGTCATATAGCATAATATAGTCAATCATTACCTTTTTTGAACAAATTCAATAACAAATAATTTTCATAAATTTAGTTATTTTAAGAATTAAATTTTAATATGGTTGATATAAAAGGATATAACAAAATAAAAGGATATAACAAAACTAAGATACGACTATATCTAGTATCTTCGTCTAATATTATCAGAAAATATACTAAATTGTGCATAAGTGCACAATTTAAGTTTAATTTCTAAGTATAAAAAATTTATATTACATTTATAAAAAATATAACTAACTTTAATTAACTTTTTATATTATGTATGCCAATTTCTAACATGTATTTAAAATGATAAAATTTAATTGTAATATGTATAAAATGATATTAGTTGTAGATGTTAGTATTGAAACTTAATATCAAGTGATCATATAATTCTATTTTTTAAATGATAAAATTTAATTATAATATGTATAAAATAATATTAGTTGTAGGTGTCACTTGTCAGTATTGAAACTTAATATCAAGTGATCATATAATTCTACTTTTTAAAATGATAAAATTTAATTACAATATGTATAAAATGAAATTAGTTGTAGATGTCACCTGTTAGTATTGAAACCTAATATCAAGTGATCGTATAATTCTACTTTCTAAAATTGATTAACTTCGTATATTATTAAAATAAATTAATCTTGCATATGATTAACGAAAAAGTTCTTACTAATTTTCATGTGTAATAATTCTCAGTAATTAATATATTTTTTATATAAAAGGGAAATTAATGTGGTATTCCAGGAATATAAATAGTAACTAAGAATATTTTTAGATTAAAAGTAATATAATTAATGCATCTTTTTTCAAAACAACAAAAAAAATATAAGAAGGAAACATTAAAATTGTAGCAAGTTGGGAGAGACTTAGATAGCCTAGTCCCACATCGGCCAAGAGTCTCCACTTTATAAGCTCAACACATTCGGCCATTGCCACGAGCTTCGCTACTAGAAGCCTCTGGCATATTGATAAAGGAAGAGTGTTTGCATATACATTTAGATTAGAAAACTAATTAATAGTTAATAATAAATTATAGTTGTTGGTAATTACTAAAAATAAAATAATATTGTGGTGCATGTGTGGGGTTCATATACAAAACATATAATATGTGAGGAGTTGCGTTAAATAAAAATTAATTTGAATTAAATATTGTGGCGCCTGTAATAATACAATACTACGGCAACAATTTAATTTATTGTCTAAAAGGTTCAAAAATTTATTTGGAATTTTCATGGGGTTCTTGTAGATATTTCCCTATGAAAATTCTGGAAAACTCATAACTTTCATAAAAAATTTACCAAAAGTTTCATGTGAATTTTTATAATTTTTTACGAAAAAATCCGCAAGTAATTTACATGCGGATTTAAAATCCCAGGTAATTTACATACGGATTTAAAAAATCCCCAGGTACGTTACGTGGGGATTTATAAATTCCGCAGGTAATAATTACCCACGAAGGTTTTTCCATCGAATTTTTTTTGGAAGGAAAATCCGCAGGAAACTAAGTTTCCTGCGAATTTTTCTGTGTAATCCCCAGAAAAATCTCCATATAATACGCGATTTTCTTGTAGTGATATATATCTATATGCATCATCTATCCATGTGATTTAGTTAATGAGATCAACTAATCTTTATCCTATAAAGATGATCACATAGATATTGATCTAACCGGATTATTAATGTCCAAATTAATAATCCTATGATCAAGAACAAAATTTAGATTAAATTATAAGAAACTTCACTCTCATTATCATGATCTCCATCACAATGTCAAGTCTCAAAATTTAATCAAGGACCTTATCAAATTAATCAAGCAATTAATAACAATGATAAAAGATTATCAAATGCCATATATATATAACATGAAATAATGTTCACAAAAAAATATGTTCAAATCATCAAATATAAGATTGGATCTAGGGCATATATTAAATATCCCTAACAAATGAATCTTATTAGGTTATAGATATATATACCTTGAAGTCGTTGTTTATGATCATCCCAACAGTTGCAAAAGCAGAAGCAAAACAACAAATCACCATTTGAACTTCCAACACCAAAGCATAAGTAATAGTTTGCGTTGCTTTAATGTACATTAACTCCACCATTGGCATAACAAATCCATATAATGCAGCAGCTAAAAGCGTCAAAACAAACCCTAATATATACTCCTTACTCGACTCTCCCTTTGGCCTATCACTTCCAGCATGAGGACGAGTTTTTTTATGTCGTTTTTTCGACGTTGGAAATAGGCAACGGAAAGAGGGATCAAGATTAGTGGCCAGATTTGTAGCCAACTCGAAAACCAAATTCTTTTGCCACCGTGAAGGAAATAGAGGCGCATAATCAATGGACCACCACAATTACCAATTACTAGCAAAATACAGTTTATGACAAGAAGGATTTTTCTCATTCTTTCATTAGCATGAGTTGCCATTTTCGTTAAGTATTTCTCCTAATAGCTCATGCGGGTGAGAAACAAGACTAAGGATGAAGCTTTTTATATATGAGAAAAGAGGTCAAGTTAAATAAATTAAGAAGGGCTGATTTATATAAAACTCAAAGTATTGGAATCTTCACCTGCAGTAAAGAAGAAGCAAACTTAGAAGGGGGGAAGGAACCAAGTATGATTTTAAAATTTGGAGGAAACCCTTCACGGTGTTGTTTCATAAAATGAATGAATCTCTATTTTCTACTATTTAGAAATGAGAGTTTGAGGGGACGAACACGTGCTCCAAGCGCATGTACAAAATGCAATGGAAGCTGTATTCCAAAATTTTAAATTCTATGCATTCCAATGTTATTGTGGGACACGTGTACTGCTTCGTGACATGTATATAAATGCTTTTTATTTGTGTGGGGCACAGCTGGTTTCCATTCCATCTCACTTCTAGAACACACTTTCTTTCTTCAGATTTATCTGCCGTAAAAGTCCAAAAATATTCTTCAACTATTTGAAATAGTTCAAAAACATCTTTCGATTATTTTTGGTACCAAAAATATTCCTGCTGTCTATGTTTTGGCCCAAAAATGCCTCTAAATCGTTAATTTTGCCATTGAAGCTGACATGACAGTCTAACTGGGTTAGAATTGCTTACATGGTCGTCCACCTAAGCAATCCATATGTGAAAATTATTTTTTCAGAAATTTTATTTTTCCAGAATTTTTTAATAAAATATAAAATCAACATTTATTCTGAAAAAAGTAAAAAATTTAGGAAAAAATATTTATTTCGGAATTTTTTAATTAAAATACAAAATCAACACTTATTCCAAAAAAAGTAAAAAATTTACGAAAAATTATTCTTGATTGGGGTTTATGATTTGATTAAAAAACTCCTTTGTTCTCTTTTGTGAATTTATGATTAATTTGTGAATTTCGGAATTATGTCTTTGAATGCTTTTGAATCCAGTAATAGCGTAGTTATGTCTTGGAACATTATCCCTGTATAATTTCAACCCCATTCTTTAGCTCCAAAAAAAAAAAAATTAACACACAATGTTTACAAGAAAAAAAAAACTTTATTTGTAAAACAACAAAGACGCTGGTTTCTTAATCCTAAATAAGTTGGGGTCGGTTATATGAATTCTCGATATCTATAATCATAAATTCACAATAGAGAACAATGGAGTTTTTTAATCAAATCATAAATTCGAATCAAGAATAATTTTTCCGTAAATTTTTTACTTTTTCGGAATAAGTGTTGATTTTGTATTTTAATTAAAAAATTCCGAAATAAATATTTTTTTTCGAATTTTTTTACTTTTTTCAGAATAAATGTTAATTTTGTATTTTATTAAAAAATTCTGAAAAAATAAAATTTCTGAAAAAATAATTTTCACATATGGATTGCTTAGGTGGACGACGACGTAAGCAATTCTAATCCAGTTGGACTGTCATTTCAGCTTCAGTGGCAAAACGATAGGGATATTTTTGGCACAAAAAATAAAGGGAGTATATTTTTGAGCTATTTTGAATAGTTGAGATATTTTTGTATCTTTTCCAATTTATTTAATAGTTTTCAATTCCATTGTACTTTCTACTCCTCTTTCTTCCTCTCTCACCTGCATTCTATAGTTGTATTCTTTCTGCAGCGTTGTATTTGGAATGGATAATCCTAGAACCAAAATATTTCTTGTGAATACCTAGATGTGCACGCAACAGTCGCCTTTTCTATGATTGATTACATCTCTATTTCAGTCTTTCTTCATTTACTTCATCTCTCTCATTTTCAGCTTTTCATTTGATTTTCAGATTTCTCCATTTGCTCTTTATTTTTAGCCTCTTCTGTTCCCGTGATGGCGGTGAGCTTAGTTTCTTGTTTCTTTCTTTCTTTTTTATTCTTTATTGCACTCATTCCTTGGTCGTGGAATTTTGATAGATATCTGTTAGCTTTCCTCTTATTTTGAATTTTTTTTTTGTCGATTTTGTGAATGCATGTCACTATTTTTACCCTTTTTCACATGTGTTTTTGGGAATATATACTTGGGTGCGTGATATATGTTTCTGATTTTTGTTGGGTACAATAGCTTCCAAAGGAATCTCCTGGGGAAGTTTGTTAGTTCAGTGACGCTCTTGCTATTGATCGGATTAAAGCCTTGTGTAAAGAATGCTAACAGGGGATTAAAGAATTTATATAAAAATTCCTTTTTTAGTTTAGTCATTTCTATCTGATCCAAATGTGATAAGTCCACTCTCATTGCCCACATAATAGATGCTACTAGGTGAATAAAAAAAATAAGGTTGCTAATGAGTTGATGTTAATTGAGAGTTTTGTTGCTGAGATTTTTATTTTCCCTATGTGGTCTTTCAACTTCCAGGATTTATTGAGCAAGACGTGGTGAAAGTTGTCTGTACCACAATTTTTAAGAATATAGCCACTAAATCAGCCACTTTTTTTTAACTCAGCAACTTGAGTGGAGGTGACAAAGAAAAAATGTTAAAGTTGCAAAGGCAGAACAACAAGCAGGGCAAATCAGGTGCAATGGTTGATTTCAGATTCTTCTATTTTCAAGCTCATCAGGTATAATTCCACATTCTTTTCAATCCCCAGAACACGCTTTTCTTTAAAAATAACTTAAGCTTTCTGTTTTGTGTAATGATAATGGGTGGTGACTAATTTTGTTTTTTCATTGTATTGACCAGTTCTTCTTGGACAAAAACTACAACTTTGATATTAGAATGCAAAACATAGAAAACAGTTCACCTCTAGATTCAATTTTGTAACTGACTTAGCTGCTTCTGATAGTTTTTTCATATCTGAATTGCATATTTGGATTCAAGATTTCTAACTGATAATGGAAGCAACAACTTGACACCATGATTGTTATCAAGCTCATAAACAATAGTAATTCTGGAATTGGAAGGATGATCATACAAGCTATGGGTGACTGATGATGCCTGAGATCAATTAGGTGACCTTGAGTTATATCAAATTATCTAATGGATAAAGTCAGACTATAGGCTCATATGAGCCCATGCAATATTGCAATAAGACTAAACTCTACTTTGGAATTCCTTTAGTGTGTGACTTTTCCCTCTTGATGTTGATTCCCTTCATGAGGTATTATGTGTGATTGTTTGAGGACCATGAGGTTGGATGTAAATGAAATAATTTCTGTAGATTATTTCATGAGTAAAATCAGAACATATTAAACTACATTAGGTAGTTCCTGAAAGCTTTTAACTCAGCCACAACATTTGTGCACATATATTTACTATTTTTATACTCAATGAAGGCTATTTGCCTTATGGGAATGTGATAGGCTAATTGTTTGGAAAAGATTTATTTCTACAATGGGAGATGTTAATCGGGCACTATATCAGGTGAGAGAAGTGATCAACATACATTTCAAGTATCTTGCACTGTTTATTCCGGACAATTCTATCCTTGACAATATCTTCAAACATAGATACGAAATAACCATAAATCCTTGAGAACATCTTTCATACATAGATGCAAAATAACCCTATATCCTTTGAGATCATTTTTTCTGATATAGATGCAATAGTTATTTCCTGAAAATATTAGATTATTTCCCCTAGATGTGAACCTGTTTCTTCAAATGGTCAGTTTTATGTAGTCATATTGAGAGCAATAAGGGGTCGTTTGGTAGGATGCATTAGATAAGCTAATGCATGCATTAACTTTGTGTATTAATAATATATTGTTTGGTAGATATTTTGAACCTACGCATTAGTTATGCAAGCATTAGTTATACATCCTATTTGGTATTATCCTATGCATAACTAATGCATAGAAAATAATGGTATTAGCAATGCAATGAATTTTAATGTATGCATTAGCTTAGTTAAAGACAAAAATTATCCTTCAAAATTTATGCTTGATTAAAATATGCTAGGTAGTTTATTAATGCAAATTCAAAATAATCCAAATAGTGAGAAATAAATTTATATCCCTAGTAAATAAATAAATACTTAGCATATTTCCTTTTTTATAAATAAATATTTACTTTTATTTTACAATATAGGTAGACAAATAAAATAATTTTTTTAAAACTTTTTCATATAAAAACATTTCTCAACATATGTTTCTTTTAAAAAGTTAGAGTGTGGACTAGCTTTGAGGGTATTTTTGTAAACAAACAATTCTTTTAGAAATTGTACAATACTTTAATACATCAAACCAAACAATGGATAAGAAATATGTCAGCATAACTAATACCAGCATAACTAATGCAAGCATAACTAATACCAGCATTACTAATACACCCTATTCATCATTATTCTTATGCACCCTACCAAACGACCCCTAAGTGTCCATCATGTAAACCTATTAATTCGACCACCTACAACTGATAGTAGTGATGATTATTTAACATACAATATCATTTGGCTGAAATCACTCAAAAAGTCATTTCATAGATAGATCCCTTGGATGGGCCTATATTCTGTTGATGTTCTCTTCTTCCTTGAATGTTGACTCCAATTTGGCACAGTCCTAGCAATTGCTCCATTGTTCTTGCTGAGGTATTTTACTTCTATTTTTTATTATAATTTTAACTCACCTTATGGATCATCCGAATTGTGAAGGAATTTGAGATTACATGTGAATGTAGGTTGATCTTGTAAAGATTCTGAAGCACGAAGTTCACTTGTGAATAATGAGATAAAAGAATTAACCACTAGCTTCAATTAGTTACAAATACACAGTCCAATTTTCACTGTAGAACCTCAATCTGATTGATGTGTTTCCTCTCCTGTTTCTTGTGGTTCTGCATGAGATTTGAAGCCACTTTCATCTTGTGTATTTCTCCTTCATAACCGATTTGTCTTCTTTTTGGAATTATTTGCTCAGAAATGTGCAGAAAAGGCATGTTGATTTGGTGTTTTTCCCGATATGTTGTGGTAAAGTACATAATTTGTTGTGAGTTGGAGAAGTTGTAACCTTATTTGAGGTAATATTAGGGCCGACTCTAATGTTGTTCCAAGTAAGGCTTTTGCCTTAGGCCCCCAAATTTTGAGGAGCCCCATTTTTTTTTAGAAATAATAGGTTTATAGGTATTTAAAAAATAATATTTAGTATTTTTCATACGGGTTTTTCTATAACAGTTGCCTTAAAGAAAAGAAGTTTTTCAAGATTATAATTGATAAAATCTTATTTGAGATTAATAATGTCTGAAGATAGATTAAATGAGTTGGTTATATTATCAATTGAAAAGGAATTATTAGAGGAAATCGATTATAATTTTTTTTAAACAGCTTTACATCTCGAAAAGATAGAAAAAATAGACTTCAAATAAAAATATATATCATAACTTTCTTTTAAAAATTTAGTCCTCACATTAAATTTGCCTTTAGGCCATACATGTGTTTGAGCCGTCCCTGGGCAATATTTGAGAGGTATATTCTGATGTTATTGTGTACTCGGCACTTCTACATGAAGTTTGCAAAACTAATGCGAAATGCAACAATGAAGATATTTTGCAAGATGTACAGGTTTGGTGCTTTTTAATATAATAAATTTCTATGATGTTGCTGCTGAAATTAGCCTCTAAAAGGCTCACTCTATTCATGTCAAATGGTTATTCAAATCCTCATAACTGAGCCAAACTCATATTTATGATTTCTTGGTATCTTAATATCAGCAAATAGCTACTCCAGACCACCATAAAAGGAATTATGACGATTTCGAAGTCTTCAATGTTGGGCACGTGCTCGTGCATAGCACGGGTGTATATATAAGTGAGAAAGGCAGGAACGAACACAATCTAAAAAGTGTTGCTGTGTGTTTCACGCGTACAGAGAGTAAATTAAAGCAAAAGCACAAAAACTTGAACATCAAAGAACATATATAAAGCCATGGAAATCCTGTTGAAACTATATTAATTAGTTTCTTTCATTTCACAAATCGCATGCAACAAAAGGTTTTCCAAGTCCTATTCTAAAGGCAAAACCACACTACACACAATTGTAAGATATATTTAACATATCGAATCATCTTAAAATATTGTATGGGATTTCTGCATTAATTTTTCTATCTTATAGAATACTTAAAGAAGGAAGAAACTTGTTTGGATTGTCATAATTCTTGAAGAGCTTTTGTCAGCATCAACTTTAAGTAGTAATTTGCCTTGTTTCCATTGTGGGATTACTTTTATCAGGTTCAATTGTGTGACTTTAGCCTTGGAGCTCAGATTAATGTCACGACCCCAGTTCACCCTCCGTGAACTATCGTGATGACACCTAGTCTCTACGACTAGGTAAACTTGACAAATGCGGAAAAAGAACAATTGCGGAAAGAAAATAATTAAAAACCAAGATAACAAAATGAAACAATGTTTAAGATGCCACATGACATATAACAATACAAGAATCTCAACCTAACATTCCCAAAATCCGTAACCCCATGAATCACAAGCTAAGAGATACATAAAAACCTCTAACTCCAGGAATGTCTATCAAAAGGAAAATACAGAAGGGCTATACTAGTACAGAAATAGAAAGGGACTCCTCGGTCTGCGGACGCGGCAGATATACCTCGAAGTCTCTACAAAAGCGCCTCGCCTCAAGGATGATAAGACTGAGTGGAAATACCTGGATCTGCACATGAAAAACATGCGCAGAAAGGGTATGAGTACACCACAACGGTACTTAGTAAGTGCCAAGTCTAACTTCGGTCGGGTAGTGACGAGGAAAGTCAGGGCCCTACTGAGGGTAAATGAAATGCAAGGCATAACAGTATAGATTATGACAGCATAATTAAGTGCAATAGTAAGAAGTAACACGGAAGAGAAAGAACAACAACAACTACCACAGAGACAAATAATCACAGAAGTAATACAACTCAACACAGAGATAACAACCGTGGGATCTCCCAGGATACCGTCCTGTAGTCCCCAAATTTAATATCCAGTGGATCTCCCGGGTGTAGTCCCATAGTCCAACTCATAATGCGCGGGGATCTACTGAAAATCCGATCCGTAGTCCCAAATGTAAATATCCAGTACAGGGAGAATCTACCGGGTGCGGTCCCGTAGTTCCAAAGTAAATGTGCAGAGAGATCTACCGGAATACAAATCTGTAGTCCCAAAGTAAACATGCAGGGGATCTATCGGGATACCGTCCCGTAGTCCCAAAGTAAACACACAGCAACAACACGAAGAATACACATTTCAATTCAAATTCCATACTAAGGTAAAATAGGTACTTCTAGTCTAGCATGCTGCACATAATCCAAACAAGGCAGTTTGAGCAAGTAAAACAATTAATTCAATTAGACATGCTTCCCTAAGCTAACAACAGGCTTAAATTGCAAGTAGTATAAACAGGAAAAAGAAACACAATTAAAATTACTTAAAGAAAATCGAATTTTCAACAATTAGCANGGCTAATACACGAAATTAAGAAAAATGACCAAAACGCCCCTCGGGCCCACGTCTCGGAATAGAGTAAAATTTATAAATTCAGAATTCTCATACTCTCACGAGTTCATATATATAGAAATTACTCCAATCCGACATCAAAATCGTGATCCAAACTCAAATATTAGGTCTAGGAACTTTTCCAACTTTTCTCCAATTTTTCCACCCCAAATTCGAATTTAAAGGATGAATTTAAGCATAGATTCGTGGAAATTAATCAAAACCAAGTAAGAATTACTTACCCAAAACACCCAGGTGAATATCTCTCTCAAAATCGCCAATCCCGAGCTCCCAAATTGATTTTCTAAGTTTTGAAACTAAACCCTCGATTCTGCCCCTTTTCTGACCAGTGAAAACGCATCTGCGGCATCTGCGGTCCCGCTTCTGCAAAGACCAAGTCGCACCTACGACTTTTCATTAAATCAATTTTTTCGCTTCTGTGACATCCTTCCCGCACCTGAGGCCTCGCAGGTGCGTCCAAACTCCCGCATCTGCGGTTCCAGCCCTTCTCCCTCTTGGCCGTATCTGCGGCTTCCCTTTCGCTTCTGGGGGCTTGCACCTGCGATCCCCTAGCCGCGGTTGCGGTTATGATAGTAGACTCAGCAGCTTCAGCTGCAAATTCCCAACTCCAAACTTCCCGTTAACCATCCGAAATCATCCCGAGGCCCCCGGGACCTCAACCAAAGTACGAACAAGTCATATACCACTA